ACTCTTAACATCTCTTGCTAACTGCAACTCCAAGTGTGATTTGGCCTTCCTGATTTCACTCCTGCACGCCTGAGCAAAAAACGTCCAGCTTTTGGGTCTATTCTCAGACTCCTGCCTCTCCTGCTGAGTCTCCAGCATTTGACCAGCTACCAAGGGTGGACAGGATTAGTGACTGCTCCCCTCCCAGCCCCCACGCCATACCATTAAGTTCTATTGCTGACCCTGAGCTACCCTTCTCTTCCACTGAGACCCCCCAGAGTTACTGCAGCTTCTAAGCAAAAAGCCCAACTCAGATAGCCTGGGTGTGAGGTACTGGGGAGAGGGAGAACTGATGGACTGGGGCTGGAAGGTAAACTATGGCCTTGTCTAGACTATGATTTGGAAGATATTAGTTAATATGTCAGCTCTCCTCTAAGGCCTGTGTGAGGTTAAAGCTTCAAACTCGACCTGTCCAATTCATGTTAAAGGCATGCTGCCTTGTCTACACTAGGCTGTTAATACATGCTAGCTAATACTTTCCAAATCCAAGCCCAGACAAGTCCTAATGGATTCAGGGGAGAGGGACCAATGGAAAGCAAGGAAAAATAGAATTAATGCATTAGATGAAACGGAGATAATTAAAGTAAGACTAATAGTTGCGGGGTAGGGGTGAGGAAACCACTTTTAGATCTTGACATCGTCTTCAGGCTTTTTGCATTACCAGTGCAGGCCGCTCAGTCTCACATAGGCCTGAGAGCAGAGCTGATGGGGAAGGCCACCAGGATTAGAGTTCGTTGCAATTTTTTCCCGCAATAATAAAATTTTCATTTTTGTCAAAAATAATTCAGGTGTTTATAGAAAAAAACAAATTGAGAGAGAGGAAAAAAGTTTTTTTTCCCACACAGCCTAAAACACTCCCTGAATGATCTGTGGGCATTTCATAAGAGACCAATGCCAAGCATCCTCTCTTCATAAGTATTTTCATTCAAGGGAGGGTAATTTGGTTCAGTAGCTGAACCAGTGTCAATACACTGGAAGAACCAAGGAGGCAGATCACTCACAATAAGGAGAAAAAATAATTAGAAACTAAGCTTTGCCAGCCTAACACAGGATCTGGCAACAGTACTCTCCTAGATTCTGATAACCGCATTTCCATGAGACTTGGAATATTTCGAATATTAAAGATGTATAATGAGATGTGCTGGTGAGAGAAACTGTGCAATAAATAGTGTGAATCAGTCTCAAATTTCAGCATAAATAATTTCACATTATTTGAGATTCCAAATTGAATAATCTTTTCAAAGGTAGTTTTAGAATTTCTGCATTTACATTATAGGGTTTCTCTCTTTATTGGAAAACAACTTTCTAGCAGCTAATACAGAGCCAGGGTATAAATATCTACTGATGTAAAGAAAGCATGAGTGCACAAGCTCATTCTTCTCTATGAGTTTACAATAAAATAATAACTGATTTATGTTCATATAAACGGGCTAAGATGCAGGTTTTTAATAGACTTTTGGAATGAATGGAATAATTCTTGTAGGTCTGCAAACAGCTACATATGTGATTTGGGGGGGGGGGGGGGGAAATCTCAAAACAGGAACATGGGGACCAAGTTAGAACCCGTCAAAGTCAGTGGAAATATTCTTATTGACTTCAGTGATCAGGCCTTTGAAGCAGATTAAAAGCACCCTTTTCAAAGTTCACTGCCTTTCACCACATCCTTTTAAGTACAAGGTCCGTTGCCCATGAAGAATAAACCAGGTTTACAAAACGCACTCTGACAAATGGACTGGAGCTAAACTAGTGTTTGGAAAATTATTTTATTAAAGAAACATGTTCAGTAGAAAAAATTATTTCAGTAAGTTTCTCCAAAAACACTTTTGAATCAGGAAGGGGAAAAAGGGGGGGGGGAGTTCAGGGAGAATTGAACATTTCAATAGGTTTAAACTAGCCTTACCACTATGATCCAGTACAAAGTCATCTTGAGCATAACGATATTTCTCAGGTCCGCAGGCAATGAAAACATCATCATCTCCAAAAAAGTCCTGCAAGCAGGTAACCTAAAAGCCAAAATAAGTAAGAAAGTGTGCAAAATATTTCCAAGATGAAGTTAATAGCTAGACAGCTAACAAAACCCAACAAATCTGTGCTTTCTTTTCACAGTTCTGTGACTCCCTACAGCACTGGGTATCATATGTTTTTTTCCACAATGACAGACTCTTACCAGTTTTCAAGTACTATAGAGCAGTGGTTTTCAACTGGGGGGGTACACAGAGGTCTTCCAGGAGGTACATCCACTCATCTAGATATTTGTCTAGTTTCACAACAGGCTACATAAAAAGCACTAGCGAAGTCAGTACAAACTAAAATTTCATACAGACAATATGAGAAAGTAAGGAATTTTTCAGCAATAGTGTGCTGTGACACTTTTGTATTTTTATGTATTTTATGTGCTGAAACTTGGGCGTACATAAGCCAAATCTGACTCCTGAAAGAAGTACAGTAGTCTGGAAAGGTTGAGAACCACTGCTGTAGAGTCATTCTTAAAGTAAACAAGCCAGAAAACTTCAATGTCAAAAATGTAAACTACACAATTTTTAAATAAGTAGCCTTCACTGACACTAGTACACATATAATCATTTATAATTGGGTGTAAATATTTATGGCTTTGACAGAAATGACTACAAGACATTATTGAACTGTCAAAGTTGACATTTATATTTAAAATTTCCAAATGAATTATTCACAGGAAAATCCTTCTTCCAAAATTACTCACATTACTCCGATTATAACCAAAGTGTCCCTACATTTCTGTTTGTTTTCAGAGTGGCATTTTAATAATATAAAAGATTATTAAAGTATGTTTTTACCAAATAGTTATAACAAATTAAAAATTGTTTCCTTTTTACTAAAATCTATTCACTAGTACAATAATATGCAAATCATAAAATACAAGCTACACTGAGTGAAGCTTTGTACTTAAAAAAAATTCAATATCAGCGGTGTGATATCTATGGATGAAAAGCACTATAAGAACGAAGTGTTATAGATAGGTATTGAGGGAGTTAAGATTTCTCAGCAGTATTCATACTAAACACTTTATTCCTTGTTCAAGTTTCAGATAAATAGCTATTTGTTAAACAACGCAATTTAGTATGAAAAATACCACACAAAAACAAAAACTGTTTGTGTGGAAGGTGTTCTATGAAATAAACTGTATTACAAAACATTCTGTAGAGTACAATAATAGAGGAACAGAGTACAAAAAACCTAATAGTATGTGCGTCTGTAAAGTAAATATTGCCAAATCTTCAGCTATGGCCCATTGCATTGAAAATGGCAATATGTATCCAGACAGTGCCCCTTTCAGATCCTGAGAAGCAGAGGGAAAGAAAAAGGACTTTGAGTGCAAGAAATACACGTGGACAAAGTAGGTACAGGACAACAGGCTCTTCTGCAGATGCAGGCGCCTTAGGTGTAATTCTGTTTCTATCAGAGTCAAAGTAAAGTTCCTGTTGATTTCAATGGGGGGAAGGATCTGAACCATTATCTGTAGTGGGGAGCAACTCCACGTGAGGGTATTTTCTTTAGAGAATCTTATAATCATTATATAGATATGTGTCACTGGGATTTTAGAACTTGCTACAGTGCATTTTAAATCCTGTCCTTTCACTCACATGCTGAATCCTAATGTCAGAGGTAAATAATCAGATCTAGTAAACAAGTGAAAATATAGGGAGGGATTTTCAGATGCATTCAGCATTGATCTGTCTCTGCTCCCACTGAAATCAGTGGAATCACTACTTAAATGGGAGTTGAGTTAGGCCTATCCTGAGCAACCTTAAGTATTACAGTGGTGGGGGGAAAGCCTTTGAAACAGATTTAAGAGCATTCATACAAAATGAAGTTTACATGGCTAGTATTTTTCTGTATTCCTTATGCTGTTATTAAAGCAACACTGTTTAAGAAGTGTCTCCCCATACCTCTCACAGCTTAGCTTCACCCTGATCCTGAAGTCAGGACATAAAATCCTTGCACTAATTGCAACACAATCTATTAGCAGGGAAAGGACTATGGTATTATGAATACAAATATTAGGACTTCATTACACAATCAAATATCAGGAAAGGATGGCTTGACAGAGAACAAGCTCTCTTTAAAAAAAAAAAAAACAGCACAGAAGAAAACTCCAAGCAATGTTTATTTGCAAACACAGAAAGGAAAAGTGGGAAGAGCTCTGAAGAGTAAGTCCCTCTAACATTACAAACCCTGCAACAGCTAGGAGAGCTGTAACCATTTAGCAAGACTAAAATAATTTTGTACTGTAATAAAGAGCTCAAAAACCTACTGTTTCTAAGGAATGGACTTTTTCCTTCTGGTCCAGCTGCCCAACAATAAAGTTTGCATATATTGGCCACTGTGATAATAGTAAATATTGGCTGATGTACAGGAAGGGTTTCTAGTGCCTGCAGTAGAAAGACACTCAGAATATCAATGACTCAGCTGCCTGCAAGATCATTCAAACAAGGCATTCACAAGCTGTGCAGTTGTCATGGCAGCTAAAACAGTGATAACAGTATGTTGCTCTTACAGTAAGATTCTCAATACACTAAAACATGCAATCTAGAACATTTGTTTGATTCTATTACAAAGCTCAGTCGTACAACACTCCCTCCACCAAATGACAAAACTTATTTATTTTTACTTTATCACCATAACAATAAATGTCTAGTGTCATTGACTGGAGACTATTTGACCTATACTTAATATTGATGCTTTTAGTTTAAATGAAAAGGCAATGACACCTGGAATCACAATGACTGAATATTTCAGAAAGTAGTTTTATTAAGATAAGAAAGAAGTGGACTGATTTTCCTATCTTTTTAAATAACTATATATGCCAAAAGGTAGAAGTTGCTTCTTTGCCCAGACTTTTGAAACAAAATATGTTTTTAAGAGACCATCATGTTTAACATAAATCCTTCCCATTGGGGGGAATCATTCCTTCATAGAAAAATATGGAAGTGGCACTGGGTGAGAGGGCAGCTGCGAGAAAAACCTTCAGTTTTCAGTTCAGGCCTGGGGGGAAAAGCTGCCCCTCACCCACAATTGGAGGATCCATTTTCTTATCTGGGAAGGAGGCCTTAAAATGCTGTCATGGTTAACGCTTGTTAAAACAGTATTAATTCCCTCATCTCTGAATGGATTAGGAATTATCAGCAACAGTGGCAGCATGCATAGCACCATAAACCAGCTATACTGCTGGTGGCGTGGTCATACAGGAATTAGGTAGAGAGACTTCACCTCTGTGTATTTGGTCAAGGAGCTATGGATCTTAAGCCAGAGTCTGATGCAGATGCCTGCCTCTTCTATGTGGCCTCCAACCGTAAGTCACAGCAGGGAATGAAGCACTGCAGCAATTTTGCTTTTAATATACATGGTTTATTTTTATTCACTGGTAGGTGCACAATCAAGTCACAATTACAAACATGGATACAGAAATACAAGTATAGTGGATATTCAGTTACACCGGTGAATATTATAATCCAACAATGACAGATTCAAAGTAACAAGCTTCAATTATTTATTAGCACAGGGGTTCTCAAACTTCATTGCACCTCAACCCCCTTCTAATAACAAAAATTACTACAAGCCCATGGGCTTCATCCCCAGGCAAGGGGCCTATAAACTAGTCCAGCTGCCCAGGGTTGAAGCTCTTGGGCTGCGGGCCCCAGCAACTTTAAGTCAGCCCTGGCAACCCCATTAAAATGTGGTCATGACCCACTTTGGGGGGTCCCGACCCACAGTTTGTGAACCGTTGTATTAGCATATGGCTGAGACGCATCTCTGGAATAACGATTTCCCCTCTTCCCTCATCAAAGGGGCTGGTCTAACCCTACCTTGTTTACAAAATTTAAAAAGTTTGAAAGACAAAAACCATTTATTTAGCAAGAATTGAAAGTCATATCACTTGTCCAGTCAAACAATCAAATAGTGAGTTAAAGGCTAAATATTTTAAAATAAAAATTCTGGAATGCTCCTGTTTTCCTGGAAAATTGGGCTAATTTCTTTTCTGTCTACCTAGTTATTTGTATGGCCCTTGTCAGCATACTATCCAAACAGCGCCCCCCAAAAAATACTAAAATAAACTCATCACCTGAAGAAGAAATTTTTGACTTTCCTAATACAAAGGAGTTTAAGTAGGTGATTTTGACTAAGAAGAGCTATTGAGGGAAAGATAAGTTAAATAAATGGTTTGTGTTTACTTTGAATGCCGGTCCAAAAGTCAACTATATTGTTTAATTTTTTTAAATTATACCTCAACCTTTTGCTGTTTTGAAAGAGATTCATCAACCTAGAGATTTTATTAAAAGATACACTTTTCCCCAGTTTCCTCAGCATCTACTATGCAGATAATACTTTGAATGAAATGTGTTGGTGGGTAGTCCAATATGAAAAGCATGTCAGCTATTCACGTTATTTAAGCATCAAAATGTGGTCTGTGAAAGTGGTTAAATGCACACCTGTTACTAGGGTAACAGTCTGGCTATGGGAGCAAATGCCTGTTATGCAAACCTGGATGTCGCTGAAAACAAGTGTTCAATTCAAAAAAAAAAAATTCATAACAGAAGATCAGTCAGTGTGCAGTCATTTAATGCAATAAAGATGGCAACAGCAGTGCTGCACATAAGCAAGTCATAGCAATGCGTGACGTGCTGGCAAACTGTGAAAACTCCCATGGGTTAAGTAACAATTCTTTCATTAAGCCTGTTATAAAGGATTAGCTTTTCCAAAAGTAATTAGTCGTTTTGGATGCTTAACTTGAGATACCTAAAGAGTAATCAACATTGTCTGAAAATCAGGCCCCCTTTTAAGATATCTTAGATTGGCAGCCAAAAATTGGAGTTTTCAAATCACTAGTCACTTTTGAAAGTCTTGGCCTAGCTGTTTTCCAGTTCACATGCAAGGGCTCTGTGACAGTGTACCTCGTAAGGCTTTTTGGGGGGGGTGCTCATAAATGTATCTATGATATAACTGGAATAGGGTTTTGCTACATATG